GAAAACGGAAGTTCGCAGACATTCACGCTCATAAATATAGAAGCTCTGAACATTTTGAGTAAGCACATCGCTGATAGGTCACGACGTAAAGTACAAAACGATTGCCACCATTCTGTGTTCATAAAAGAGAGATTTATGAAAGTTTGAAATAATGTGACATTTCTTTCCTAATTTAGAGATCTTCGTACATTGTGGGATTATAAGTCAAGAATACCTCATTTCATATTCTAAGTTAGATAATAATGTAATTTACATGTTATAAAGACATTAACAATTGACGTCCCATTTTTTGCCCTATCCCCAACCACGTAAAAAACTCTGTGATGTTAAAAATTCGTTTAATACACTTTAGATTGTAATATGACTTCCCAAATCAATACATAAATACACAATATATTTTATAGTGTGTGACGTGGAAAAACTAGTGTTGCTACAACAATAGGTACTATCTCGCTGTATTTCTAACTCTTGCAAGTTTCAAAAATTCAGAGAGTTCAACGAAATTGATTTCTGTGCTATTTTTAAGCTACTTTTCTCTATCTGTGGAAAGAATTTAAAGAAACAATTTGGAGCCGTTTTTGAGAATTTTCTTTTAGAAATTGCCTTTACTTCAGGTAAAATTTACGAATTACTCGTCTTTATATGGTAGATGAGTTTATTTAAATATCTAATTTTTATAACAATTTCAAAAAACTCTTCATTATAAATTTTGTACGATTGTAAACTTTATTTTTTGCAATTACCGAAAATACAGACTTTGTCGAAAATGGTATTCACAACATTTTTTACCGTCCTTTGTTACATTCAAAGAAAAAAAACTGAAGCCATTGTTAAGAAAAGTATTTAAAAATTGTCCTTATTTCACGCAAAATTTCGTGAAAACCACTCATATTCTTTGAAATTCTTTGAAGAATAAATTACATTTAAGAATAACTATTTAGTGTTGTAGAGGTAAGATGATGTCAAACAATTGGAACTTTTGCAATTTTTTAAGCGCCTTTAGCTATCGGAGGAAGAAGTTGTTTATATTTAATTTTCTATAAGAGTTGTATGAAAAGTACTCTGATGTATCCTATTTTCTGGAAGTTCCGTAGCTTAGTAGGGAAACTGTTTGAAAAACATTTTTTGAGTTACATGGCCCTCAAAATTGCGCTGAAGGCCTTCAGTCCTTATAACTTCTTATAAAAATCCTATAAACTCTCGCGTTGTTGTTTTAAAAAGGGCTTTTTTGAGGTCGTATTTTTGTAAGATTAGACTGTAAGAGTGTAATTTATACCATATATTAGAATAGCTAGCCCTAGTTCCATGATCATGATACAAGAAACAAGTCAATTTGGCAATGGCCATAAAATCTGCATGTGGGCATATTACCTTTAAATTACAATGTTTCTGTAAAATAACAAAATATTCATGGATCACCTTTTTGTGATGTCCCTGTTTCAACTTGAAGCAAGATTATTAAATTTCATCATGATGCTGTTAATTTGGCCAAATGTTGAAATATATTAAGCGAACGCACAGGCGAACGCACAGGCGAACGCACAGGCGAACGTACAGGCGAACGCACAGGCGAACGCACAGGCGAACGCACAGGCGAACGCACAGGCGAACCTTCAATCCTCTTGGCTTTTGGCTGCAACATATTTTGAAGCACAGACTTCACCTTGCTGAAGAGAATCGCATATTTCAAAAAAGGTTAGCAAAACTGGGTTTTCATTTTATCCCATTTTGCAGTGACCGCCGATTTGGGTTCAAAATTTATCCCAAGACATTGACAACCCTACCAAAACTCAAAATTTCTGAATGCTATTTGGGAATCATTGGTCAGGGCATTTGAATAAGATACCCTTTGGCAAACACAAGCAAATATTCTATGGCTTACTCCTATGTCATCTTTTGCTATACTGTTTCGACTTCAATTCGTCTCATCAGCTTGGAAGGTGTTGAGATCAGCAACATGGCTGACTGCATACACAAGGCCAATAGTGGGGAGATTCTGGAAGCCTTAGGATCAAACTTTGTACGAAGCATACACCTTTCCCTTTTGGATCACGCCTTTTGGCTGCAACAAAACATAGGTCTTAACATAAACTTTAAAAATGTAAATCTAGCCGACTACCGAATTTCCTTGCGTTAATGAAGCAAATAAAAAGATTGAGGAGAGAATGAAGGAAATAATGGCCAAAGGTAAAATACAATTAAAGTGCATAAATGATTTTAAAATGCCTTTAATCAAAAGTATTTTTAAAAGCCTTTCGGCAATGTTTCGAGCCTTTCGGCCTTTTCGCATAAGGTAGTGTTAATCTACGACGCGCGTTACTTATCGTGTCAACATAACGCTGTGTGACACAGACATCAGGCGGAATACTACATTATGCGGAACGACCAAAGCGATTGTGTACTGTGTCACATAAGAGTGTTATTCTATGACGCGCGTCAACGCGGTTGTGCCGGGGACCTTACCATATTTTGATGGTCTTATATTTTTTATGACTATATATTTTTTCATGACTATAGAATTGTTTTTTGGAGCAATTTCGTTGGCTCAAATTTATTGTTTCTACATCTTGATAATTGATAGACACAAAACAGCAACCAGACCATCATATACAAATAATAATTGTAGGAACGCTAAGAGCTGGTTTGCCAAAGATTATAAATATCAATTGGTGGTTAGTTTACCCTATATAAAAAATGTTAACACATGAATCAAGTGTTTTGCTTTCCTGACTCATGTTCAGTATTCACGAACCTACCTCCACATACCTAATACTAATAGGTATAGAGTAATAATACTAACACTTATTCAATACCTCCACATACGTAACGTAAAATATTTTAATGAATTTATTTGATTTCAAATTAGATCTGTAGGTCAAAAATATTCAAATCTCTATGACCTAAATGAATGTGTATTACCGAAAAGTACAAATATTAAAAATAAACCAATAAACATTGCACAACGTAGGTGCGGAGACTAATTGTCAACTCACAAGTTAGCATTTGGTGCAATAATTTCACAAATCTCAACAAAATAAATAAAAATCAGCGTGAAGTGTGCTCAACGCTTAAGTTAAAAATGGACATCACGGAGATGGTACACGAAGGTCAATTCTCGAACATATCAAAAACAAATGTGTGAGGAGATTCCATAATTCTCACTTGATACAGGAACAGATTCAGAATATCTTAAACATGTTATCAACATAATATTTTCCTCTAAAACGGCAATATTTCTTCAAATATCTTTAAGTAAATGATTGGCGTACTTAACAAAAAAATAAATATTTCAATACATATGTAAATGTATACAAAATAAACATTTCCCAACATTCTATTGCGCGACATGTTCATGGCCAAATCAGAGGAGATACAAGTTCACAGATATACACGAATACACCTTAAAGTTTATACCACATACCTGTACGATTGTTTACAGTGGTGTAGTGTTGTAGAATTAACGCAGATACTAATAAAATTCAGTGCTCCATTTCATAACAAACTGTTCTATACTTCAAAACGTTTTAATACAAACGACTTATAAATGTTCCACAAATACAACATGAAAATGCAGCTGCTACGAAAATAACTCTGTCTCTTTAATTTATTTGATTTTTGAAGCACTATAAAAATGTACACAGTTTAATAATAACCAATGTTCAGTATTTCGAGGCAAAGATATAAATGTTCACAATATGGTATACTTGAAAACAAACGTGATCACACGTACAGAGTGTCAAATAGCAGCTGTCTCAAAAATCAAACAAAACAACCCGAAACAAAAAGCAACAACATTGACTTAAGACTACTTTCGAATTTACTAACATTAAAACTATCTGTCAATACTAAATAATATGGTTCAATTATTACTTTTAATATGCGTCACCTACAACGACAAATGACACAGACCATTTTAGAATGCATAGATGCTCACCCGTTCACATCAAATTTACCATAACCTGGATTTTAGCAAAAAATGTTTTGTAGACCACTTAAGTTCCAGCCTTATCCTAGAAACGGGAGATGTTTTTGTAAGTCCGGGAATGAACTTTTAACCTCTGGGCGCTCGTGGTGACTTATTTTAAGTCATTGGGGTTCGTCACACTCGTCAATTCGAAATTTGTGAATCTAATCGCATACGAATAGCACTGGAAGGCGTGGGAAGGGAATAGGCTTCCCCGGAGACGTAAAATTGTTAAAATAGTGCATTTTGATTGAGGTTGTTCTTCGTGCCACTCCATCGCCACCTGCTCTAATAAACGCAAAAAAAAGGACCTAAAAGCTGTATGAAAACTGAGCTTACAAATCGCTAATCACTAAAGTAATTACAGACACGTAATTTTTATTTTAGAAGGGGACAAAATGAGTCAGTTTCTCATCTGCATTTTGTGACTAATAATTTAGCAGCGTAATCTTGATGAAGCCTTTCATTCTTGGAGTTTTTGCGTTGAGATTGTTCCTCTACATCCGCCTCATAATTGGTACGAAAATTCACGGACCTCCAATACCAAAACCAGTGTATATGAATTGCCCAAAAGTTTTGAGAGTCCCATGCAGCATGAATAGGACTCGTCTTCTCTAGCAACCATGTAAATAGTAGAAAGAAAAAAATAACTTAATATCATTGAAGAAACCTGGTCAAACCAAGTTTTCATCACTTTGCATATGGTGTAGAGTAAATTCAGATACATAATGTACACACTACTAATGTACATTTTCATTGAAAAATTTCAAACCAGTTTGGGGAAAATGTTTGAGCATTTGTAAACAATACTCTATTTTAAGCTCCTTTTCACAGAAAATATAGGTTTTTATGAACAGTCAACGGAAAAAACCTAAATATTTTAATAATAGAAATAGCATAAACTTCGAAATTAAAATAAATTGACTAAAAAGATCACAAAATGTGGCAGTATTTTGCGATGCAGTCTCGAAAAATTACGTCACTTAATACTCTTAAAAGATGTACGAGAACGAATTAAAGAAATAAATTACAATAGTTTAAAACATCAAAATGCATTTTTATTGCTTAAACCGCATACATACTTCCAGTTTAAATTCTTCCACGTACACCATCAATCACTACTTTTGAACATTCAATGAATGGAGCAACAACCATCTTTTGATCGTGCCAAAAGTATGTTAGAATGAAACCTCTCCATGCCAGCCTGCAAGCAAGAGCGCCTAAGCGCGCAAGAGTTGGTTCGCAGCCCTCAAGGCGTCATGGTGTCCAGCACCCACTTCATGTAGAAGGCGACGCGCGTGTACACGCCCGGCACGCCCTCCGTGGTGCAGGTGTTGTGGCCGAAGGAGACGATGCCGAAGAGCACCGCCTTCGACTCCAGCCCGTCGGCGGAGAGCGCATCCATGACGAGGGGCCCGCCGCTGTCGCCGTTGCACGCGTTCTTGCCGGCCTCCCCGCCCGCGCACAGCTGCTGCGGGACGATCTCCGTCTGCAGGCCGGGCTGCGGGCACACAGTCGCCATCACCGCCTCTCCCACTCTCGCAATCCTCTCTGCCACTACCACCACCTCCTTCTCCTCCTCTTTTTGCTCTCTCTTCGTTCTCCCTCCTCTTGCTAATCTCTCACCCAATCTCATCACGCTCTCTCTCTCTCTCTCTCTCTCTCTCTCTCTCTCTCACTCCATCTTTCACCACGACCACCATCACAGTTGGAATAACCATCCCTCAGTCTCTCATTCCCTCTTAGCTCTCTTTCTCTCCTCTCGGTTTAATCTCTCGCCCATTCTCACCATCTCTCCCTCTATCTTCACCTCCGCATCCACACACACACACACACACACTTCATAGTCCATTCTTCTTTCATACACCTTATATACAGTATCCCACATCTCTCTTTCCTGCTCCTTTCTAACCCCCTCCACTCTCTAAGCCCTCCCTCTCTCTTCTCACATTTCGAGATATTAAAGATCATATCACGACAATTGGTTTTGAATACAATTATAAAATACTTTAAAACAACTTGGCAGTGTCTAAGAAACGTATAGATCAGGAAAAGATCATAAACGAATAATGAAAACTGAGGAAAGGCTGGCGAAAAATCAATTTTAGTTCCCTTTGGTTTTTAATACAGTTTCATTATTTTATGAAGTTTACATACTCTTATTTGATCGCCCAAACCAAAAGCGAAATTCAGATGATGAGGAATTTTACCGATTTCAATTCTTATTTGAGAGGTCTTGCAAAGCCCCTTGGGGAGAAGTGAATTCCATAAAAGTAGAATCTGTAGAAATTTTACCCGTTCAAAAACCTGCTTGCACTTGTCCAAGGGCACCACAGTAAGGATGACATCCTTCAGGACGTTGCTGCCCACGTTGTCCTCGGTGAGGCCCCAGCCCGCCGCCACCAGCGCCTGGCCGTCGAGGCGCAGGTTGAGGTTCTCCCGGGTGACGGGCAGGCACACGGGCCGCGACAGCCGCACCAGCGCGATGTCGTGGTGGGTGGCCACGCCTGGCTTGTACAGCGGGTGCACCTCGGTTCGCTCCACGTCGATGTCAATGGGAGGGGGGTTGCAGGTGCCGTTCACCCTGCGACAGAGGCACAGATGTCAATGGGTGATTGCTGGAGAAATTCAGCGAGTCAATTTTGTTTCTTGACGCGTAAACCACTTGGGTCCTTAGTCCCTTCGGGTTCGTCGCATCGCAGATGTTGACATGGGCCGAATGTTCTACTATGAAAACTGGGGTGAGCTACTCGCTTCTAGAGGATAGTGATGATTACAACCAAGGGGTTTCCTTAATATTTTCATTTAATTGATATTCAAACACATTCACTAAACCTATTTTTTATACTGTAAGATTATGCAATAGCCAATTTAACTTTAGTGAACCGAAGGCTCTTAGGAAATATAGTAAACAAATTTCATTGTTCACTGTCCGAAGTGCAACTTTCGGCACATTAATCGAAAGCCAAAACGTGTCTGCTAAGCGAACCAGACACCCAGAGCAAGTACACAGAGACACCGAGTGGGGGCGTGGAGGTTTTATGACCTTGAATCACACGACAGTCTCGTGCCATTGTGCGTCAGCTCATGCACTGAAACCGGGGGAAAGCCATTCTGGGCGCCTAGGGCACGTTCAGCCGTTCCTGACAGGTACGCCTCACCACGGCCCTTCCTGTTGCGCCCTTCCTGTTGATCGCCTGGCGCCACAGAGTCGCGCCACAGACCTCATCCTGTCGGTGGAGCTTGGGTCTACCCACTTAGTGGTATGCGGGAACTGTGTGACCCTTCTGAATTCACCTCGTTAGTTGATTAAAAACAGTGACAATCGTAATCATGCGAGATACAGTCGGTAGGCGGCAGTGTTCCTCACTCGCTTAAACGTGAGATCCAGCATCAACTTACGCGACGGTTTGGGAAATGGCCTGAGACTATGAATGCATCCCTTTCCCAGATATCGCCCCTTATGGGGCACCGCCCAGGCTGTTAAGCTCTGAGATTCCCACATGTGAAGTGTAGTACATGAAACTACAGGGTCTTTAGCTAAACTTGCAACCCATGACTGGAATCTCTGCCCCTTGTTTTGGCAACGCATGAAATACCTTTGGCATCCCTTTCACTTTTAGCGACACACGGCCGTATGCCCTCAGATTTCGATGTGAGTGTTTGGCTAATTTTAGTTGGAAGAAAGAGAAATCACTTATTCTGTCCTTTTAATCTTCAACGTACTGAAACCACCACTGAAAAACAGTAAATGCATATCTCTTGTCAAATGGTGACCACTTGAGTATTTATTGAACGGTCAGTTTTTTGTCATTTTAAGGAAATTATCTTTTATTATGAATAATTATTTCAAATAACTATTAATTTACTACTTAACTACTACTTTTAATAATATTATTAAGGATTTCTTATTTGCTAGTAATCATAAACACGCATAGTGGCAAAAACACGCGGTTGCCAAATTGTCAAAACAAGAACAAGTGCTCTCAGACATGGGTTTCGAATTGAGCTAAAGTCTTGTATGTATGTGCGTATATAAGGAGAGAAGATTGGACAAGAATGAGAAAAAGAAGATTGTGGACGGATGATAACGCGTGTGTTAAGATACTGCTCTCGCATTCGCTTGCTATGAATCGGAGAAACCACGGAAACTTCTAATCAGAGCCGCCGCCCGCTGAAGTGGCTAAGATAATGGACATGTATTTAATTCGTTTGCAGCGAGCTGTTGATAATGTCACCTTATGAATATGGTTACAACGACGAGTGTTGCAGTTGTAAATATCAGCGTTTGCTGAAAATATATTCTCGGCCTTAAGTAAGTTTTTTTTGACAAAAACCACAGATTTTACACAGTAATTTTATTTTACACTGATTACATAGTAATGTTAAGATACTTAGATTAATAAAGAGAGGCTTACAAGAATTTCGTGGGTGAGATTTGCCTATTAATCGTATAATTATTTTTTGTAAATTAAAATTATGTACTTCCCCAGAATATTATGCCATATCTCAGGCGGGAATGAATATTCACGAAGTATACACAAGGAGCAGTATAGAGGCTGACTGAATCAGAAAGAATTCTGAAACTTAATTTAGTGTTCAATTCATTTATATGGATGTTCCATTTAGGGTTTGACTGAATTGAATTGAATTGATATCTACTTAACTCCCCGCCAATTTCTCCGACCGCTCTTGAGAAATTTAAACTTTTTCTCAACAAATATTTTTTATAAAATAGACTCCCCATATTTTTCATTTGTAATATGAACTTGAAAATCACCGAAAATTAATGAAACTTTCATTTCACTACTCATGGAGACTAAAATATTAAATCCAATATAATATTCACGAATCTGAAAACATGGCTTAGTCATAAATACATTATTGCATTTGTGAGTGAAGGTTCTTCAAATGACTTCCAATGAGGATTCTTCGAAAAGGTAAAAGATTTTTGTAAAAAAGAGCTTCAAATTTAGCATTTACAGTACCTCTTAAACGCCATTTTCTTATAAATGCTTCCGGATTTTCCAACGAAATTTCTCTTCTAAAACGGAGTTTTACTCTTCTTTAATATCCTTAAAGTAATATTTCGGTTTTACTATCAGGAAACCGAAACTTATAAATATTTTCAAACAAATATGCTTTGGGCTGCTGGCAAGAGAGGGGCAAGATGGGGCAGGACCGAAAAGCTAGCGCAGACCATAAAGATAGAAAAAGTTATATGAGCAAGTCTGTGGCATTCAGTAAATTCGTACATTCGTTTTCATTTTTTTGTACACAGATAAAAGAAGGAAACCTGAAGTTTATATTATTATTAGTGTAAATAATGTATATTAAAAGGTAGGAAAAAGTAGTGATCGTACCTGCAGTCTATTGGCTTGTCGATTGTGTGTTCGCCAAGTTTAACGGTAGCTACGTAGAGATTTGTTAGTTTTTTTTTTTTTTGTATTGCATTCTTCGACTCAAGGCCCGTGGATACCACTTGAGGGTCCGCTGATAACTCTCGCTACGTCTGACAGCTGCTCACTGCATCGCACCCGAACAAATCTCTACGTAGCTACCGTAAACTTCGCGAACACCCACAAATCGACCAACCAAAACTGCAGACGATCACTACTTTTTCCTACCTTTTAATATACATTATTATACACTAAATAATATAGAAACTTCAGGTTTCCTCTTTATCTGTGTACAAAAAAAATGAAAAACGAATGTACGAATTTACTGAATGCCACAAGACTTGCCTCATATAACTTTTTGCTATCTTTATGTCGCGCTAGCTTTTCGGTCCGCCCCATCTTGCCCCTCTCTTGCAGCAGCCCAAAGCATATTTTTTGAAAATATTTATAAGTTTCGGTTCCTGATAGTTTAAAAACCAAATATACTTTAAGAATTAAAAAAGAGTAGTAAAAACTCCGTTTAGAGAAAAGAAATATTCTTTGGAAAACACGCAACATTTATAAGGAAATGGCGTTAGAGGGTTACTGTAAATGCTAAATTTTGAACTCTTTTTACAAAAATCTTTTAACCTTTCGAAGAATCCGCATTGGCAATCATTTGAAAAACTTCACCACAAATCAATAATTATTTATGGCTAACCATGTTTCAGATCTGAATATTATAATTGGATTTAATTTTATTGGTCTCCATGATACGTAGTGAAATGAAGTTTCATTAATTTCGGATTTTCAAGTTCATATTACAAAAATGAAAAAGTATGGAAGTCCTATTTAATAAAAAATATTTGTTGAGAAAAAAGTTAAAATTTTCTTCAAGAGCGGTCGGCAGCAATCGGATAAAGTAGAATCAATTCATTCAAATTCAGTCAAACCCTAAATAGAACATCATTATAAATAATTGAACACTAAATGAAGTGTCAGATTCTTCCGACCCTACTGCTTCCTCAGTCTACGGCGTTGGAGAAAAATCCTCTTTTTTTATTTAAACTTTTTGTATACTGCCTGCCTTGTGCCTTCAACAAATATTTTTTTATAAAATAGTATACGTTATCCTTCCCCATTATTTTCATTGGTAATATTAACATATGAATATCCCGGGTTCGAAAATCGCCGAAAAAAATTTATTGAGATGAAACTTTCATTCACACTTACTCATGAAGTATAGCTACGGTAAAAGAATATGATAAATCCAGATATATAACTATATTCTTACTCGTGAAAATTACTCAAAAAAACAATGTAAAAATAAAGCCCTATTAAATAACACGATTATATTGTTCATAATTGTGAGGCAAATTCTCACCCAACGAGTGAAGGTATCATCTTCATTAATAATGAGACCTTCTTCTTTTACTACCCGATATAGATTGATCTCCCTTCTGAAAACATTGAGCGTAGTGTGGAATAAAATGCATGTGTTTTGTGTTTGTTTATATAATAAAACTATTACTGTCTAGATTAAAATCTTTGATTTTAGTAAAAAGAAGCTTTCAATTTAGAATTTAACCCATGTTGTCAAAAAAAAACTTACTTTAAGGCCGAGAATTATTTCAGCAAACGCTAGGATATTTTATCCACCTAAAACGGCTCGCAATCACTTTCGACTCCTATAAATTGCTTCATCCGCGTGTTCCCCGATTTCATTGTAACCATATTCAATAAAATACCAATATTCTCTCTCTTAAAAACGGAGTTGTTACGATAACTACCTCAAACAGTCTCTTTAATATCCTGTAAAGTAACTAGTTCTTCAAGAATGAATATAGTTTACTATTCAGGAAACCCGTAAACAAATCATGGCCATTTATAATATTTCATTTCAAAATAGCCAAATATCTCATGGCTTGCTGCTGGCAAACACGACGAGGGGCCCAAGCATGGGCCAGGAGCTTCTCCGGATATAAGAAGCTAAGGTCCCGCCCCAGTTACCATAGATATCGCCTAGAAACGAAAATTCATAGCAAAAGTGCTGAATGCGAGAGCCAGTACTCTTAAACAAATGAGAAAGTCCCACGCTTACATCTTCTGCACATATTCGTTTCTTTTCCCATACTAGTCGTAAATTCGTAGCCATTCCGGTTTTCCATTTTTTTGTACCACCAATTAATAAAAGAAAGCTGAAGTTCTATATTATATTATGTGGGTTGTCCAATCTTCTCTGCTACATATATTATAATCGCATATATCTAATAAAACAGTAGCAACTGAATAAAGAAGTCTGCTAATTCTACGCTCACCCACCATTCCTGAGACAGCGTTCTTTCAATTGTGTTTTGACAATGCAGCAACCGGTTGTGCTTCGCCCAAGTTTAAACCCGGTAACTAAACTAGAGATTTGTTCCGGTCGCGATCAGAGCAAGCTGTCAGCAGCCGGTTATCGAGCCGAGTCTTAAAGTGACAGTCATGCTAACCTCTCTATGACATTATGTAGCGTAGCAAATAAAATCTTCTCTCCAAGAATCTTGATGGTCACACATATGTAAGTCGAAGGCCTTACAATACAAAAAGATAAAAAAAGTAAAATCTTAACTATTGTATATATGATCAAAGTATATTTAGTTCCCATCACAACACAAAAAAATAAAATTTGCCCTAAGTTATATATACAATGCACATATAACCACTAGATTCTCGTGTTCCCCAAATAAAAAGTTACTCAATGTCACCATTATAAATATTCGAACCAGCATATCCTACATATTTTTAACTAGTGTGATATTACTTTAAGATTTTTTGGATCACTTTAAGCTACCAAACGATTGTAACACAA